TGAATTTAACTGTGTTTGAAATGTGAATTAACTGGGGGAAAGGAGAAGTGAATGAATTTAACTGTGTTTGAAATGTGAATTAACTGGGGGAAAGGAGAAGTTAAATGTTACACACACACACGCAAATGTAACACACAGACAAGCTGATTAAAATGAGTTAATGTTCTTACAATGTTCTGGAACGTTCAAAGCTCCTTGTTATGATCCTATGTGTTTCCCCCCCCATCAAACAGTCACCACCTCTCCAAGTCCATCTACAACGAAGAGGCCTGGTTCGAGATCGTCTGCGCATGCTCTTTAGCCAAGCTTGCGCAGATCTGGGGGGGAAGGGGTGTTATGTATTAGGAGACTTGCAAACGGGCCAGCAACTGCTCTGCTGCGGCTTGATTGGCTAGGACGCAGCAGAGGCTGTTGCTAGCCTTCCTTAACTGTTAATCTTCCCTGATTGGCCGAGGTACTGCACCAGCTGTTGCTGTGCAGTACCTGGCCCCTGATTGGTTAATGGGCTTGTTACAATTACTATAAATACTGGGCGTGTTTTGTGAAACCTTGAATCGTTGTTATCTTACTTCTGTAATAATAAAGACCATCTTTCTGGCTATCCATGGCTCCTGCGTTTCCATCCACTCAATCTTTAAAAATTAACACTTCACGTGATCTTGATTCTATCTCTCTGTTTATACATCCTGAACTGTGTTGGCTTTTTTGGCAGCTGCTGCACACAGCTGGCTCATATTTAAATGGTTGTCCACTAAGACTCCAAGATCCCTCTCACAATTACTACTATTGGACGAGGTACCTCTATAGTGTACCTGTGCATTTTGTTTTTCTTGCCTAAATGTAGAATCTTACTTTTTTCACCATTAAATTAGATTTTGTTAGATAGCACCCAATGTTCAAGTCTGTCAAGATCCTTCTGTATCTTAAGCCTATCTTCCAGAATATTGGCTATTCCTGCAAGCTTGGTGTCGTCTGCAAATTTGATGAGTTCCCCATCTATTCCCTTGTCCAAATCATTGATGAATATGTTGAAGAGTGCTGAGCCTAAAACAGAGCCTTGGGGTACTGCATACTTCCCTCCATTTAGGACTACACGTTGAATGCGGTTGGTCAGTCAGGTTCAACTCTTTCATTGTCCAGTCATGTTAGTCATGGCTCTGTGGGTTTTTTAATTAGGTTGGCTCATTTCTGTCCTCTTGTGCTGAAAAATTAATTTAACAACCCAGTTTCTTAATCTGATCAATTGTTCTTATACAAAATATGTAGTAACTTGGGATCATGAAGGAACCTAATCAATTATCTAATCAATAAATATTTAACCTGTTGAAATAATGAGATTGATCAGCTTTAGACTCTTTTCGTCTTTGCTCTTGCTCTACCTAATTACTGTGGATATTAAAATGAAAGTTTGTTCCATAACTTAAATGAGCCCCTTTCAAGTAAATCTGTCAATCAAGAGACACATTGGGATTATACTCCAACATCTCTCGATGCCAGGTTGGATAAAATTGTTTTACTTCAGATTCCCATCTAAGAAGATTGACATTTTTTCCTGATCTGACTGTACACAGCCCAGCACAGCATGATCTTTCTTTCAAGGCACAGGTGTGAATTAATGAGTTCAGTCTCAGATGAGAGTGTCTGGATAAGTGTTTCTTCTATCTGGCCTTGCAAGAAGCTGTGATTACATGAGCAAAGGAGACAAATGTTACATTTGCTAAAAAAGATTGGCCACCCCACTATAGCTCATTATAGACTTATTGATTAGCTGTGACTCTACAATTGTTGCTTCAATTTTGCTTTGAGTATACTAGAAACTGAGCCTGAGACATTTTTCATGAAAAGCATGTATTCTTTCACTAAAGTAAAGAAATAAGTGGGATATTGGATAACTTCCTAAAGTTGTTATTCGGAAAGCAGCATATTTCATTTTATTTCATAAATAATAACTTCCATGTTCCTCCCCCATATCATGTCAGATGAAACCTGAGAACCTAGTACACCCTTCTACTATTGTTGGACCATCTTATATTCTTATCTGATAATTTGATATACTGGTGGGGGCTAGGACTGTATGCAGTGATCATGTAGAATAGACAAACATTTTCCATATGTGCTGAGCATCCCATTCAAATTAGAGTTTAGTATTTGATAAAAAATGTGAATTCATTTTATTAAACGCAATAAAATGTGTCACTTTACATATTAATCTCAACGTTAATCTCAACACAAGCCCCCATTACATCATACAAAAATAACACAAGGAAGCCTACTTTCTTTGTAGTATCCATTGCCTTCAATATGGCTACATTGAGATCTTCCAAAGCAGATAGGACACTTTCATAAGCTCCCAGATGCTGGGAAAAATATTCTAAAATAAATAGAAATATAGAATGAAAACGTGGAAAGACTGAAAAACCAAAATGGAGAGAGGTAGGGAGAGAGAGAGAGAAGGAGGGAGGGAGGGAGAGACAGACAGACAGACAGGCAGGCAGGCAGGCAGGCAGGCAGGCAGGCATATGCTGGGTCACCCAAATCCTTCAGGATAGTAGTTTATTAAGGCTGGGTAAAAGTGGTAAATCCATCTGAATGTACTTTGTTCTGGTTTATTTTAGCAAGAGCAAAAGAAAGAAGGAAGAAGAGAAGGAACAAGCAAAGAAAGAAAATGCCAAAGTGTATGGAGGGTTGATATGCTTGCTTCAGAAGTTATAATAAAGGTTAATTAGGGAAATCAGGGTGAAGTATCTTTCCAAAAAGATCTTTATATTAAAACACAATGAGCGACACATTTAATATAACAATGCTATGTAAACAGATACAGGCATATTCCTGTCCCCAAGCAACATAATTCTAAAGTCTTCACATGCATCCCCAGGAATATTTATCCACTAATGCATTAAAGAGCTAAGGCAACATCATACACCAAACTTCTTACTCAACATTGAGCCATTTGTGAAATATTCTATTTATTCTCCTGCAAGCTTTACTTTCATTGTAGTTCATCTTTATTGCACTCAACTTCGTAATATTCCAGTCACTTTATCATGTTTTCTCTTAATGAAGAACTGCACAATAAACTTTCTCACAGTCGTATGTTGCTCAAAGAGTTGCTAAAGAGCAAAAAATTGATCTGAAGACCCGCTAAGATAAAATCACTATGCACACATTTCCTATAGTGTTACCATGTTTCAACCTTCTCATTGCATTTATGACCTAAGAAGTAATTTGCTTTTAATCAAATTACTTCTTAGGCATTAACAATAAAACAAACTCAACTGTCCTTGTTCAGACTCACTAGTTTTCTCTCTCCTTCTGGAAGCAATGAATTTGATTCTTTTATTTTAATTAAAAAAGAACTACTTACCAAATAATTCTTCAGTTTCCAAGTTGCTGCAAGAAAAAGATATAATATAGAAAATGCATTGCTATTTTGTGAATTCTGCAATCAACTTCTTTTAATTAGGTTTGTACACCAACTAATAATTTAAGTGTGAGTTTGTAAGTAATTATCAAGTGTGCTTGACCAGTTTTTAATTTCTATTATGTTGATTTGCATGGATTAAAGTTTACATACAATTTATTTATTTCAAACTAAATATGCAACTCAATTGCATCTCAAACAAATTTCTCAATTTTTCAAACTTGAATAGCAAGTTTGAAATATGCTTTACCATTAAATGCAAAGTGAAATAGTTGAAAATGGTGTAGCAAGATAATAACAAGAAACTTTCTCAAATAAAAGATGCACCTATAAATTCAATTTTGTGCTTTGCAGCATAAAAAGTACTTCAAAGACTTATTTTTTCTCTACCAAAATGGCAAATTTGAAAGAGAATACCTTCCTTTTTCTACAGGACCTACAGAATAGAGAGCTGGAATAAGCCTTATCTGATGTAGAAAATGTAAAATATAAAGAAATTGTTGACCTACTGGAAAATGAAAAATGTGGATAATAAGCAGATATGACAATTAAAATGAAAATACAAATGGCACATTGTATTTGTATTTATTAGTTTGCCAAATATGTACAAGATAGCCGGTAGAAATATAAACATGGATATGAACGAAAGAAATGAATACAAATAAATGGGGACAGTGGGACAGGGATGGTAGGCACTCTGATGCGCTTATGCACACCCCCTTTATGCACCAAGATGTCCTGGACAATGACTCTTTACAGGATTTACAAAAGAGGTTTGTTAATGAAGCAGCTTCTGCAATGGGATAAGGAAATCTGAAGAGGCATCAAATCCTATGACAATACCTGAATGAAATGATTAATATTTCTAGAAGCAAAAGAAAAGTGCAAAGTTGGTATGTTCGACCAAGGTTATAATAGACATGTTTCTATAATATCTGGGAACACTTTATGGACTTTTGCTGACACCAGGGCTGAAATGTTAATGATTTGTAGATTTGTGTATGGGTAAGGGATGGATTATTGGAAGAAGAGATATTTTCATGTAACTTTATAAGGGGGTGAGGAATTGCTACGTTTGTTTGTATTTTTTGTAATGAAGATTGGAAGTTATTTCTTTAAATATTTTTTTCCTTTTATCCTTCTTTTTCCTTTTTCTTAAACTTAGTCACTCTTTCTTTTCTTTTTTTTTGATTGTATTATATTGTATTATTTTCTTTTTAAAAACTTTCAATCATTTTTTAAAGAAATAAAAAAAAACTATGCATATTTGTAGACAGAAAGGAGGACCAAAAAGAAGCAAATTCAGGAAGCAACCTCTCCATCAGCTTTTTTATTTAAACAATTTATACAGCAGTCTATTTTATTCTTACTCTGGGTAGCTAACAAGACCTTAAAAAAAAACCTAAGGTAACAAGACTTGAATAACAAAAACAGAACCATAGCAACAACAAAACCACGAGAACCATGTAAAATGGGCCAGAACCCACTAAAAAATAATTTCTTGCTCAAATTATATATGCCAAGCTTGCTTAATATCTTGCTCCCACACCTGGGAAAAGAGCCAGGTTTTAAAGCCTTCCTAAAGGCTAACAGGATGGAGGCCATCTATATCTCTGAGGGAAAGCTGTCCCAGAGGACAGCTTGTGCTCCTGTTGTGCTCCTGTTCTAATGATGTATCTATCACAGAGTTCCTCAACCTTTCTGGCTTTGCAGACCGGAATGGGGGAGAGAGTGGATGATTTCCTGCAGCTCTATTTTCACAAGCAGTGTCTGTGTGCCCAATGCTCACACAAATCGAGTCCGTGTGTACATGTTTGCCTGCTGCTCACGCAAGTGGGGATACAGTGCATGTGCATTTGCCTGCTATTTCCCCACCCAGTTACAACCATCTCATGGCCCACTAGAGGGCTGTGGCCCACAGGTTGGGGACCCCTGATCACACTGCAGTTGATCTCATTTTCTGAAAGGCGATCACATTTTGGAAACTGAAACCACACACATTGAAGGGGTTTCGAGGCAGATCCTGTACCTCCTTTTTATCATTCAAGGGACAGAATAGTGAAACTAGAAGCAGGATTTCCAATTAATAATTACAATAAATGCTCTCTAAACATTTTTTCTCTCAATGGCTCCATTTGTAAAAGGGATAGATGCATATTTTGAAAGACAGTTGAAACTAATAATAAGTGTGTCAAACATTCCAGTCTGAACATCTGGCTGACTGTGTGACGAATCATAATTGTAATTTTAATGTGCTGTTTTAGATAAATTCTTATAATACAAATTCATAAAAATCTAAATTAGGCATTCTATGGACATTGCATGATTAAAGGCAGATTAACATGCTTGAAAAAGTTGCTAAATGGCACATTTAGAATATCTATACAACGGTACCATGAAAACCTCAATGAAGTAGCCATGTCAACTGAAGAGAACTTTCCATGCCTAGAGCTTATGTATATGGCTGCCTTCTAGAGATTTCCCAATGTATGTGCATGGGTGCTAAAACCCCTCTTTAAGAGAGAGGTGTTTAGAAAAATGAAAAACAAACAAACAAACTAATAAATGCAGTCTACAATTATGATACTATAACCCTAACAACATTGCTACTCATGTGCAGTGTTCTTGAATGAATGAGGACTGTCAAAAATGTGCTACAAAAGCCTTCTCATTCTTCAATAGCGTGGAGAGCACTTGCCTATAAAGTTTTCAAGAATCGGACATGATTGAATGGTTAAAACAACAACAGCCTTATCATATTTACAAGCACATTCAACAAGCCTGTGCAAAGAAAAAACAAAGTTTTGGCAGTTGGCCAAACCCACATTCCCTTTGATAGATAAAAGAAAAACATAGGATTAGCCATTTGACCAAACCATTTCCCTTTTGCCTAGGGCAAAATCAGGTTTTTGGACAGTTGCTTAAAACAGAAAATGCTTCTTTCTACCTCAGAATACTTTTAGCAAAATTTATTGGTAGGAAAGAGAGAACATTATACAACTTTCAGCAGTCAGCATTGAACATTGTCTCTCCATCTTCTTCTGGGTGTGCTTCGTGTTTAACAAATAACAGAATAACTGAGTTGGGAAGAACCTTGAAGGTCTTCTAATCTTCTGCCCTTGCAGGAAACCCTGTATCTTTTGGTTGTCCAATCTCATCTTAGAAATCTCCAGTGTTGGAGCACCCACAATTTCTGGAGGCAATTCATTCCTCTGATTAATTGTTCTAATTGTCATGAAATTTCTCCATTGTTCTATGTTGGTTCTTTTTTTGATTAGCTTCCATCTATTGGTTCTTGTCCTGCTGGCAGATGCTTTGGAGATTAACCCTTCTTCCTTGTGGCAGCCCCTCAAATATTGAAACACCGCTATCATGTCACTTCAGTCACATACCCAATCTGCAACCTCTCTTCATATGTTTTAGTGTCCAGTTTCCTAATCATCTTTGTTGCTCTTCTCTGCACTTTTTGTAGAATCTCGAGATCCTTTTTATATTGTGGCCATCAAAACTAGATACAATGTTCCAATAATATACAATATTATAAAGTGGTATTAATACTTCCAACCTTCTGGTAAAAGAAGAACATTACTTTAGCTTGCTCAAATTGTGCCTTTGCAAGCTCAAGATTCCTGGAATGGACCACAAGAAAGTGGACCCATTCATAAAGACTGGGAAGCAAGCCCTTTTACCCCCAAAGCAATCTTGAGCCTGGTTTGGTATGAAAGAGACACAGGGCCTGCCCACAATCCATGGCAAAGAGGTTTGAAGGCACAGCTGCTATTAATATATTAATTGCTACAAATGGGGAAGGTAATGGCAGATACCAGCTGAGCTTCATGTCTATAATCGTAATTTCAGATTGTCAAAGAGACTGATGTTGAGATCAGTTCTAGCAAAAAAGGGATCCAACATGAGTTTTCTGATTTGCATTTTTGAAAATATTAAATGTTAAACATGCAATTATCACGTTAGACTTATCCTTGACAGAGCTCTCCCCTGGACTTTGACCTTAAATGGGTTGCCATGGCTTTTTATTACTATCTGCCAAGACTTGTGAGGTTATAGCAGCTGCACCAAATGCAAACACCAAAGGAGAAATAATGCCACCAGCAAGATATTCATAGTATAACTTGCCTGTTAAGTCCAAACACTGGCCTACAAAAATCTGTTCCATCACAGATGGGAACAAAAAGTTAATGTTCACCACAGAATATTATTATGCTGCCATCCAATCATCATTTGAATTTCTAAAGCCTAGATCTGGGAACCCTACAGAACTTAATATAGCCCAATAAAGGCAGCCCTACATGGTGGGATATTTTAATCACAGAATATGTTTGAAACTCAGAGCTGGTAACGTGGAAGACATGCTTATTTGGCTGGTGTATTAGTTAGATTTGTAAGCTAAATCCAAATCCAGAACATAATCTCAACTGTTAATATAATTGCAGGAAAACAAAAGGCTATATTGTTTCCCATTCGATAGCATAAAATGAGAGTTGTAAGCATTAGGACTCCTGTATGGAATGCAATACAAATAGGCACAGAAGTTTTTGTTTAGGGGCATCTCTTAATTATATTTAAATACATAGGCACAAGGAAAGCATGTGTATGTATGCATAACATTCTTCTTGGAATCCAATAGAATTTGTGGGGCTATTCCTTCATCTTTTGAATTAATAGTGTCAGGGATGTTTATATGGGAGCAGCTTTACAATTTTGGAAGGATCCCAAAGGTGCTTTTCAAAAGGCAACTGGAGTTGTGTTTTTTCCCCTTGAAAACGTTTCATTTCTCATCCAAGAAGCTTCTTTAGTTCTCCTTAGATAAGAAGCAAAATGTTTTCAAGGAAAAAGAACATGGAAGTCTAGTTGTCTTTTGAAAACACATTCAGGACAGGCATAATCTGGATGATTGAGAATCTTCATAGACAGTTTTAGAAGAGATTTATTTTTCCTTTGCACAATAGTATTTTTAAAACGTTTTTTTAACATCTTGTTGTTATTTGCGAAGTTGTGTCCGACCTATCGTGATCCCAGGGACAATGCTCTTCCAGGCATTCCTGTCCTCTACCATCATCTGAAGTTCATTTAAGCTCATGCTTACTGCTTCAGTGACTCCATCCAGCCACCTCATTCTCTGTCATCCTCTTCTTCTTTTGCCCTCTATCTTTCCCAGCATTAGGCTCTTCTCCAGTGAGGCCTTCCTTCTCATTTGGTGGCCAAAGTATTTGAGTTTCATCTTCAGGATCTTTTTTTTACTATTGGTCCGATAATGGTATAAATCACTGACACATCCCTATGCAAACAAACTAAAGTTCAAAATGGCAGAATGGCATTATAACAAATGAAAATAAAAAGGCACTCTCTGAACATTTATATGCATAAAACAATCCACTGTTACCCAAAGATTATGGATCACTTCCCCACTCCACCCACCTCACTACTGTAGCCTGCATCCTTAGAAATATTTAAGGTTTATAGATTATGGATGAGGCTATTCATACATTTCATACATTATTTATAAAGCAGCAAGTTTACCTGACAAATCCATACCAGAAAATAGCCCTGCCTCTGTGATTCCAAATTGATTATTTTAAAATCAATGCTACCTACTCTGTATTGTGTATGTCAATCTTCTGAAACAGTTGATGAAGCTCCTCTATGCTCAGGATTCCATCCGCAAAGTAAGCCTTAAATTCATCAAAGGACAATTTGCCATCATCTGAAATCAGAGAAGGATTTCCTTACCCAGACACATTTTACTCTAAATAATTTGAAGGTCATGACTTTTTAAAAGGAAGCACCACAGGCATTTATACATTTCTGCTTAAAATAACCCCCCTCCCTCATACAAACATATAAGGTACATTATTATAATAGAAAAATGTGTTTCTTATGACTGCAGATGGTCGTTTTTGTAGTGCAGTAAAATTTGGCTGTCATGTTCTTACAGACTTTTCACCAGTCCTGTAGAGGTGAAGGGTTTTTGTTTTTTTTACAGGAGCACACATCCCATTGTCCTTGGGATCACCATCCCTGATTATTACAAATATTACTGTAGATCACATGGGAAATAGCCATAAGGATAGCCTGTCCTTTATGCAGGGATTTTTTTAACCATTTGTCTTAGTGGTCAAATTAGCTCAAGAGTGCAAGTAGATGATCCAAAATCCAATACCTTCATATAGTGTCTTACCAACCTATTAAGATTACAGCTCCCAGAAACACTACATTAACAATGGAGGTCTTCTAATCCAAACTCCTGCTCAGGCAGGGTACCACACCGTTCAGGCAAATCATAGTCTCTTTTGGAAAACCTCCAGTGACGGAGCACCCACAGTTTGATTCCTGTGTTGTAGGGCTCAATCTACTAGCCCTATTACACACGAATAAATTCCACTTATATTGTGAATAAGTTGTTCCATTATCAGAAGCTATCAGTGCAGAATATATGTCTATTAAGAAATTTTTGACCCATTTATTCTTGAATGAGTGCCACAATGAAAGGAAAGTCCAATTTCAGTGAAGACTAAAAATGCAGGCTTTGCTGTACATGATTCAGGAATAGAGATCTTTTCTGAAATGGCATTTTCTTCAGGTACACTGAAAGATAGCTCAGTAGTACATCCATTTCCTTTGCAACAGTGCTTTTTACCTACTTTTGTAGTCTAAGCTATCTGTTTTCTAAAGTGTTTCATTAGCATCTCCTCAAGTAGCCATAGAAACCTGTTCTGAGCAAGTAACATGATATTTGTTTTAACTGATAATTATGCATCAATGATTCTCTCAGCCTTTTCATCAGGCTGTTATCCAGCAACTGGATCTTAGCTGTACAATGTTAAGTATAGCTAGAGTAAGAAGATTTCTGAAAGGGAAGAATTCCTTATACTGATGTTTATACAGGCAGTCCTCTTCTAGCGATGGATTCATTTACTATCATTCACAGCTATGATGGTGATACAAAAAGCAATTTTATTTATTATTTTTATTTTTAAAAATGTATATTTTTACAAATACCAATCCTTGCATTTATGATCTTCACACATCTGTAAAGCAAAGGAAACCTAAAATAAAAATATTAAGCACAATCACCAGTTCTTTATGAACCTCTTAACGGCTAGGTTGCTGATCCCAATTTGGTCACTAAACAAGGTTATCTGTAGAATCTTATGTCATTTAGGTACATTGTATCAGAAAATAAACAAGGCTTTTAATATCTAATAAGTCTGCTGCTGTAAAGCATAATTGTGAATTAAGTTAATGCAAAATTAATGCCCAATTGAAGCCCAGGTAGCATTCTGCTCCTTCATACTGGTTATGTATCTCCCAACCAGCATGTTGTAGATAATTCAAGTCCAGACATTTGGAGGGAATACAGATTGCAAAAAATGGCTACAGTCAAATAATATCAGTGTGCATAAGTATTGAAATTTACAAAATGATGGGGCATCATTTTGAAGACTGCAGCTGGTCCAGAATGCAACCGCGCGAGCGATAATGGGTGTACCTAGATACACCCATGTTACACCTATCCTCCGCGAGCTGCACTGGCTTCCCATTGGTCTCTGGACACGCTTCAAGGTGCTAGTTGTTACTTTTAAAGCCCTACATGGTTTAGGACCTGGCTACCTGAGAGACCGCCTCCTGCCATTTACCTGCCAAAGACCGATTAGATCACACAGATTGAGCCTCCTCCGGATACCATCGGCGGGTCAATGTCTGCTAGCGACCCCCCCGGGGGAGGGCCTTCTCTGTTGCTGCCCCGGCTCTATGGAATGATCCCCCCATAGAGATCCGGACTCTCACTACTCTTCCGGCCTT